CTCTCCCCGACTTTACTCCCTCCATCTCTAAATCAAGAACTTTGACCTGAGCCCATGTTCTCCTCATGGTTTTTCATATACAACTACTACTTGGCACATGGAGCCTTTCACCATCTCTAGCCATGTTGGCCTTGTTATTCATGGCCAAGGACAAGAGGGATGTCCTGGCTCACGTTAAACAAGAAGGAGTTTGAGGTACATACTGTCTGGCAGCCATGTTGTACCTATTGGATGAACACTGGGCAAGTCCTCATGGGCAGAGGAGGCACTTATGTTTCCTTGCTGGATGTCATCACCTCCATAATTGTGAAGTTCCTCCACTGACCACTCTCAGGTGGTACTGGTTTCATTTTGTGATTTTTGACTTTTGAAGAGTGGCAGTCCCCTGCATGATATCACAACCCTCATGCTGCCCTTCCTTCTTGCTTGCACATGTTCACTGCTGCAGATTAACTTAATCATTAGATGGTTTCCCCTGGGGAGTCCTTTTCTGTGTACTTGACCGCAACACAGAACAGACTGAAACAATGGTCACTTTGAACTCTCCATCAAACCGTAACTGTTGAAGTATTTTTTGAACTCTTGAGCCGTTCTTGACATCATCACTGTTTTTCCCATATCGTGTGAGGGCTGTGTGATAACATCACTCATGTCCCCACCAAGTGAGGCAGATTTTGGAGATGACTCTGATTAACAGTTTACTGTTATCTCATTCCATGCTCTTGGAAGCAATTGTTGGGAATTCTGGCCAGGATGATTTCTGAAAAGAATAAATGGTTAATCTTATGAACCAAGACTAGGGAGGGGAAAGCAAGCATTCTTCACAAGATGGATCTCTCAGGAGGTTTTCTTTATTTCTTAGAGAGTTTGATAGGGACCAGGTGTATAAACATGACATACTACTATCTCGACCTTTGTGAGAGGTCTAATACTGTCACAGTCCTGACTAGCTGCCCCTTTATTGCAGGTGTGGCCAATGTATTTTTATGCACTGAGATTTCCTGTTACAGCCAAAGAATTTACTTGTCAGGTTTCAATACACCATGGAACATACAGACTACATGAAGCTAAACGGGAAGAGCACAAAATTTTCCCTTTGGGGAGAAACAGTACTGTCCATTTCTCCTTGTGGAAGAGGAAACATGCACACATCCTTGTCTTCAAATAGAAATGAAAACACAAGCCTGCTGGTGGTAACCTTTAATGCCAGCTAGCTGGAATGCTGAGGCAGGAGTATCACAGGCTCTAAGGCAGAGCTACACACTGAGTTCAAGTACACCTGTGTAGGGTCAGAAGACATTGTATGAAAAGAAAATGTCATAAGAGAGGCTGGAAATATAGCCCAGTGGTAGGATATGCCTACCGTGTACCAGGCCCTAGGTTCAATAGCCTGTACCGATAAAAGTAAACATACACAAATAAATAAAAGTGTCCATATGTTGGATGGAAGATCTTCCCTATGTAGACATCTCACGGGAGTCAAGGTAAGTATGAGATCAGACTGGATCTTCTTTCCTGCTAGTAGAAAGGTGCAAGGAATTCACAACATGCTGGTAAGTTACCAAATAGGGCTGAATGGATGCAATGCAAACATAACCTTCATTACCACATTTCTGACCCAGTACTGGGACATTAACTTGCTACAGCTCATCTTAAGCATAGTCAGTCTTGAGTCTCCTTTATGTTCTGAGGGCCCTCATCACTGATACTGACTTTCCACATCCTCGGTGAATTCTCAACTCTGTGTGGCCTTGGGTGCATTTGCTTAAATGCTAACAGTCTTCGACTGACTGGTGGCATCCAGTCATGAAAAGGATGCTGTTTACTTTGATGCTGTTGTGGGCATGTGGTGCTGATTACAGGGCATTTTTATGTGGAGTTCATGCATCTAAACATGTCTCAAAGACAGATACTGAGATTCCACAGTGAAGGCCTCCTCCGGTCTGTGGGCTTCGTCAGATGGAAGACAAATCAGAAAGGCATTAGTACAGTTTAACTTCCAGTGTGAACTCTAATTTCAAAAGGCAGTTGTCCCCACAAGGTCTGAAGCTAAAACATGGCCTGAAGAGCCAACTTTGGCAAATGGGCCATGGAACATCCCATTGATACAGTCAGTGATAGAAGTCAATGAAGGCGAGGGTGTAAAGAGTTCAGTAGATCCAAGATAAATGACAAATGTGTGTATTATTGGGGAAAAACTTACACAGAACAATAAAGAACTGCCGCAGCATTTTTATGCCCTTCTGTTCCAATTACAGTGAGAGAGAGAGAGAGAGAGAGAGAGAGAGAGAGAGAGAGAGAGAACATGAGAGAGATCATGCCTCATGTTTCCCTCTTTCCATTTCTGTCCCCACCTGAAGCCATGCCCTAAGGGCAAGGTTCACAGGCAAGATGCAGCTACAAAGCAAATAGGGCTCTCAAACTGGAGGGAGAGAGACACAATTGATTTGTTTGCTAGGATCTGGTTATGTGGAAGGGACCAGTTGGTTTCAAGAACCTACAAGGGTAAAATCTGGGAGCTATTGTGTGGAACTCCTGGAGATCAATTTTTGAAATCTTTCATCAAAATTTAAAGAAGACTGCTCAAGTCAAGTGTAGTAAGGGCAGGCTTTTCATCATCAGTTAGAATACCCCTATTCCCATTGGGAAACCTATTATTTAGGTACAGAAGAAAGAATCTAGTAGTGAGCCATGTGGGTTTATTTTCCAACATTGTGAGAGCCATGTTCTCAATTTTCTACTTCAGAACCTAGATGCCTTGGTAAGTTTTAAAGACAGGCATGTTGGTATCAGCAAGTCTCTCATCCAGGAGCTTGGGAGGCAGAGGCAAAAGGATCAGAATTTGGAGGCCAGTCTTGGCTCCATAATGAAATCCAGGCCAGTTGGCGAACATTGTACACATGTAGCTCCCATGTATAACAGGTGCATGAGTGTGAAAGACACAGAAACATAGGTACATATTCAATAAGCATAGTGGCCCATTCCTATAATCCCAGAAGAGGCAGAGCAGGAAGATGGTCATATACTAGAGAACATTCTGTGCTACACATATTGAGTTTCTGGGCAAAGTACACTACAAATGAGACCTGAAATAAAATATTTAAAATAAAGAGAATAAATTCCTAAAAGGAGTGAAATAAATGCTTAAATGTGTATGTTCTGAACACAGACCTGTAGTAAATAAATTAGCTGAGGACATATTATGCTTTAAGAATGGACCAGCTACAGTGGGTGTTGGAGCAGTTGTCCTACTCTCATTTGCTTTCATGTAAGGACACCTGCATACACTCCATGGCCCCAAAATCCGGTTATCTGACTCAATGATTACTCTGCCAGAACCAAGACTCCAGGACAGGGTAGCTATTTGTGTAGGTAAGAGTACCTT